TAATGGCTGTGGGGCACTTCAAGTGCACTTAGAGAGGTCCCTGGCAGCAGATCTGCACTGCTCCCCGAATGCCCAAACAGCCCCCGCAGAGCGGAGGGCAGGGCCAGAGCCTCGGCGCCCACAGGGATGCCAGCACCACACTGTAGCCTCGAGGAGCTTGGGTTTGCAGTTTCTGCTATTTCCAACAGAGGCAGGGAGGAAGCAGCCCAGGAAGCGGCTGGGAGACAGGGTGCCACGCAGCCCGGGAAGCGGCTGGGAGACAGGGTGCCACGCGGCCCAGGAAGCGGCTGGGAGACAGGGTGCCACGCAGCCCGGGAAGCGGCTGGGAGACAGGGTGCCAGGCGGCCCAGGAAGCGTCTGGGACACAGGGTGCCGGGCGGCCCAGGAAGCGGCTGGGACACAGGGTGCCGGGCGGCCCGGGAAGCGGCTGGGACACAGGGTGCCACGCAGCCCGGGAAGCGGCTGGGAGACAGGGTGCCGGGCGGCCCAGGAAGCGGCTGGGAGACAGGGTGCCGGGCGGCCCAGGAAGCGGCTGGGACACAGGGTGCCGGGCGGCCCAGGAAGCGGCTGGGACACAGGGTGCCGGGCGGCCCAGGAAGCGGCTGGGACACAGGGTGCCGGGCGGCCCAGGAAGCGGCTGGGACACAGGGTGCCGGGCGGCCCAGGAAGCGGCTGGGACACAGGGTGCCGGGCGGCCCAGGAAGCGGCTGGGACACAGGGTGCCGGGCGGCCCAGGAAGCGGCTGGGACACAGGGTGCCGGGCGGCCCAGGAAGCGGTTGGGCTCAGGGTCTGGAAAAAGAACATGAAATGTCTATTGGATCCCAGCGAGCTCATGGGACTTTTGTCCAGGTATCTTTGCAATCCCACGGAACACTGGCAAGAGGAAACACATAGAGTGGGATGGCACTTGGGCCATCCTCCACTGCACTCCCGGGCCACAGCAGAGAGCTGGCCTGGAAGAGGAGCAACCAGGACTAGAACCCGGGGTGCCGCCCTACAGTAAGTTTTGAGCCTCTGGGTTCCATTCCATTAATAGTGGACAGACTGACTCCCAACTTCTTTCTACCAAATGTTCAAATCCCATCGTAGATGCCAGATGCTGTCACAGTAGAAAGCCAGCACACACAGGGACAACGCCGCTGTGTTTCCACAGCCTTTATCACACGGATGGCCTTGTGTTCTCTTCACAGCAGCCTGTAATGTGGCCAGGGTGGATATAAACACCATAATTCCACACACAGAAAAATTGAAGCTCAGAAAGGTTGAATGTGCTTCTTGAAGGCCCAGAGCAGGAGAAACCTGAGTGGGGCCTGGAATAGGCTCTTTCTGGGGGTCAGGGCACAAACACTCACGTGCGGCTCTGTCTCCACCACTGCCCCCTTGTGCCTGTGGTCCCTCCCAGTGTCCCTGCCCTCCCTGACGTGGCACTTGCTGGTCAAGTCCTTTAGAAGCAGCTCATTGGGTCTTCTGCTCCTGACCGGGAGGTGCTGTCCCTTCCTCCCCGTGGCCACCCCTCTTCTCCTGAACGGGTGGCTGCTCCTCTCTCCTATTCCTGCCCTGTCACAGCTGGGAACGTTGATTCAAAGACACAACTGACCTGGGCTTTGTTCGTTCAGCTGCGGCGTGGTGACAGGAGCATGGGGACATGTTGGGACAAATGAGCACAGAGGCACCTGCAGCTGGGGAGCAGCCCCCTCCCCAGGGCATGGCCTTGCTGGACACCAGCCTGGAGTGAACCAAGCCCCTCTAGAGAGCCCGCGATGGGAGTGCCATCAGGCTCTCCTCTCCCATGGTCTCTCCATCTCCCTCCCGCCCTCCACTTGCCCAGCTTTCATGACTGCACACACCCCTTACTAAGGTAGATCATGGAATTGAGACAGGGGTGCAGCCAGCCCCACAGGGTCCTTGAACACAGGGCGCACAGGGCGCTTATCTCCCTGTAGATGCTATCACAGTGCTCAGCCTTGTTGATTTCCCAGGAGCTCCAGGGCCTGAGCAAGAAGTACCTTCCATCTGCATGTAGACCCCAGACTGACTGAAGTGCCCTCTTACCATCCTCAAAACTCCCTAGAGAACAGGACGTCACCAACCGCGGAAGGAAGGCCGTGAGCACTGCAGACCAAGCAGGGGCCTGGACGTGAGCTGAGCACGCACCTCTTAGTCCCCCATTCAACCTGGAAGAACGGTTGCCCCTGGGCTCTCCAGGAGCCTGGGCCTAAGTGACGACTCCTGGCTCCCTGCTCCGTGCTTTGAAACAAACTCCTGCTTTCTTCCACCTCTCTGGTATCAGTAATTGGTTTGCCTTGCACTGGGTTAGTGGACCCCGTTTTGGGGGTTCTGCAGCAGCTCAGCAGTCAGACTTCGGGGTTCATGCCCTGGCTAAATCCTAGTGACACAGTCAAGCAGATCTGGCACTGCAGTTTGTCCCAAGGGAAAGGCAGGCTGGGGTAGGCAAGTGGAGAAGTCTCAGGGGGAGGGGGAAGGGATCCAGGGGCTGCCCCAGTCCGAGAATTCTCTGCCAGCTGACAAACCGGTCTTGGGTTGGGCTCAGGGTCTGGAAAAAGAACATGAAATGTCCACTGGATCCCAGAGAGCTCAGGGGACTTTTGTCCAGGTATCTTTGCAATCCCACGGAACACGGGCAAGAGGAAACACATAGAGTGGGCAGGGCCTCATGTTTCTAAGGGCGGGTTGATCCCTGGATGTTTCCTGAGCTGGTGCTTGGGAAATCTTCACAAGGAATTTTCTAGAAGGGGAACAAGAGACGGCCATCATGACAGCCAGAGACCCCGCGTATGGAAGCAGAAATGCCCTGTGCTGAGTGAGGGCAAGAGTTATGGCCATGACCACTGGAGGTGTGGGCAGAGGATGGTGTCTGGGCTCTGAAGGCCACACCAGACACCAACGCTGCACGGGCTGAAGCATCGCCAGTGTTCATTCATGAGTCACTGAAAACTCAGAGAGACAAGGAACCAAAGACCAAAGGCGGATCACAGAAATCCTCCCACTCACAGGAGGAAAACACCCTGCACAGAGCGCAGGCGTGCAGCCGTCATCTCCACCCCGGAGAGGCTGGTGCGGAGCCACGAGTTCCCCACCCCGTGCTCGCCCCAGCCTAGCAGCACCTGTGCCAGAATCTCAAGGCCCGCGGAGGCTAGAGGCTGCTGAGCTCGCTTGGAGCGTGGTGGTCCAGAGCTCAGCGCTGCCTCTACTGCTGGTCGTGCGATTTCAGAGTTCAGACCAACTCAAGCCCAGAGAGCTAACGTTCAGCTACTGCACATGTGACTGGGAAGAAAACTTGCCCTGTTCTACCCTAGAAGCTGGAAGTAATCTGAACAAGGGTCTGGGCCCATTCCTGCTTTTATACCCAACTGAACTAACTAACTAAATAGGCAGGATGCTTGTGGCGCTTAATGGCCTCGCTAATCAGACAGCTGTGAGGTGCAACTGAGCAAACGCCTGTGAACTGCTTTGCAAAGGACAATGCAACACCCAGCCACGGATGCTGTCTGCTCTCACTACCAACCTTCAGAACTGGGGGTGCTCAGTAGCTTGTCGCTGAATGGTCTCTGGGACTGCCACTGCGATTCTCTGCTCTGAACACCCAGCAGACTCACTTTCCCACTGCAGCCTTCGAGCCCTGCCAGCACTGGCAGCTCTTACATCCTGAGTTGCTCCCAGGTGCCAAGAGTGAGGGCCAGAGAGAGCCCTTCTCACTTAGGGGATCGCTCCTTCCCCCTGCCCCACGCAGACCCCAGATGCAGTGGCAGTAAAGTGTAGCAGTCACTGTCCAGGGCAAGTGAGGGGTCACGAAGAGCAGTAGTAGTCCTGTCGGAGTTGACTGTTACTTTATTACTGAATGGACTAATTAAAGCAAACAGGAGCAGTCCAGGTTTCGCCTTCTTCATTTTCAAACGGATCTTTCCGAATGGCTTGCAGATGGACAGGGCTTTCCTGGCTGTCCTGCATTTTAAAGATTTCTGCTAGGCGCTGCACGCAAGCAGGACTGACTGCACCTAATTTATAAAGGAGGATTTATGGACCTGCGGATGACAGCAGGCAGCCAATCAATAAGGGATGATAATAACAGCATGTAATATCAAGGAACATTAGGTCTCAGGCATGATTTGGGGAGAGAAGTGGGCAGTTAGAAACCTTATCATTTGAAAAAGGTCAAGGCCTGGTAGCAATAAAAATGCCTAAGCAAATAAAATCGCACCTGTGAATCAGGAGCGGGTATAAATCGCAGACTGAAAAAGGGTTCTGGATTTGGTGGAAGAATTACTTCCCTGGGCAAGGATTCGGGCTGCTGTGGGACCCAGGTGGCTACGTCAAGAGAGGGCCTATTCATTCGTGCCAGGAGCAGTGACAGTGAAATGCAGATGTGGACCGGGCTTCCCAGCACCCGCCCTGTGCCCTCCAGCAAACGCAGCAGGAGTCAAATGCTGTCAACAGCCTTTAAAGGACAGGGCTGAGTCTAAGCACATGTATTTAAGACCCACTGGCTTCCCGACATTCTGCTGGTCATTGTTTTCTCTGGAGGTGGGGAGGGCTTTATTGATCTAGCATATTGCCTGTGCAACTGAGAAAGGCAGGGGAAAAGCACAAAGCTGCAATTCCCTTACCAATAATCATATTACATGATTAAAAACAAAATTGTCTGATAACCGTTCCCTTTGAACAAACCACTCACAGTACCACACGGAATGCCGCAACCAGCTCTGCTACAAAACATACAATTATTCCGTTTGGAAAAACTCAGTCCCACAGCACGAGTTACAGGATGTGTGTAGATACTTCCTGCCCCTAGAGGCCACGGCAGCGTGGCTGGAATAGAAGTGGCCTCCCAGCCACAGTCTTGCTTTACTTTGGAAACTGGTGGGGAGATGAATCGAAAGAGGTGGTGGGATTTTTCCAAATGGCCCCTGGAGGAACGACTCCTCTGTGCAAACCCCTCCGCCCGACACGGGTTCGCAGCCCTGGTGTGGCGCACACTCACCTCCTTGTAAGGTGTATTCGGTCACTGCCCGGCTGAAGACACCCAGGCCGGCGCTGTTGTACGCGGCCACCTGGATCTCATACTGGGTCCAGATGATGAGGTCCGTCAGCAGGCAGTAGTTCACCTCCGGGCTGGTGATGTTGCCTTGCTGGTACTCCCCAGGCAGGCCGGCCAGGCGGTACCTGTGCCAGAAAGGAAACCATGTGAACCGGGGGCCAGGTCCCCCACTCTGAGCACTCTGAGGAGAATGGGAGTAACCAGACGTGGGTAGAGCTGGGAGTCGGCCACGGACAACACCGTTTCCTAATTCCACGATTTTAAAAGGTACCATCTGGCCCCACCAGGGTAATAAGCCCCAGGCAGAACAGAACTTCACTTCAACAATACTGGTTAAGGGAAACCGACAGCCTCTTAAGGGTCATTTGTCTAGGAAGCAGAGTGACTTCCACCCCAAATCCAGACACAAGTTTCATCCGGGAGCTGCTGTGACAGTTTGAGAAGCACTTTCCTCCTGTGGCCACAACACTGGGGCAGTCGGGAAGTGGGCGGCGCACGGCCTCCGGGTCCCCACGGCTGAGCTCCGTGTTGTGTCCACCAAGGATGTCCATATTCGCCCAAGAGCATCTCAAGGACTAGAATAATGGCTTTGGAAAGTCATTAATGCTTCTAAAATACCAGTCCAATGCCAAGGGGGACAAACGGCTCTTAACGGGCTATGAGCACTCGGGCAGTACGCTCCTCATATAGAAGGTGGAAATTTAAAGCTGTGATTATTTTTTTAAATTATTTATTTATTTTTTGACAGGCAGAGTGGACAGTGAGAGAGAGAAACAGAGAGAAAGGTCTTCCTTTGCCGTTGGTTCACCCTCCAATGGCCGCTGCCGCCGGCGCGCTGCGGCCGGCGCAGCGCGCTGATCCAAAGCCAGGAACCAGGTGCTTCTCCTGGTCTCCCATGGGGTGCAGGGCCCAAGCACTTGGGCCATCCTCCACTGCCCTCCCTGGCCACAGCAGAGAGCTGGCCTGGAAGAGGGGCAACCGGGACAGAATCCGGCGCCCCAACCGGAACTAGAACCTGGTGTGCTGGCGCCACAAGGCAGAGGATTAGCCTAGTGAGCCGCGGCGCCGGCCTAAAGCTGTGCTTATTAAACAGGTGATAGACACAACTCTGGGCTTAGAAAACGTATAGGTCAAAAATGGCTGTTTATATGGTGGGAGGACTCTTACCATTGTTATTTTGACTAGTGAGTGTGTTTCCATAATTCTGTGTACAGAAGTTTATGCGCTGGACTGGCTCAGTTAATTTACCAAGTTTTTGTCAACTACTCCCCCGGTCAAATGAGAGACACATGGAGTTGGAGTCACTTTCTCATCGCCCCGTGGTTTCTATCCCTGAGGTGGGTCTTGGCTTTGCACGCGCAATGGCAAGGGGAAAAGATGGAGAGCCAGGGCGGCAGCAGTGGGTGGCGAGCATCTCACGGCTGGTGGGGCCCTCCACGCCGCGTGACGCTGTGCTGTGGGCTCTGTGGGATGCGGGTTCCTTTTCAGGGGCAAGGATCTGAGCTAGACGCCTGTGACCAGGCGTTAGTGAGGTTACCATTATCAGAAGAGACCCAGGAATGCAAAACAGCTTTGCAAAGAGAATAAGGTCTGCGGAGATGATGAGGAAATACAAAGACGGCAGAAGTTCCTTCTCAAACACCAGGATTTCCTGACAAGGTTCTTCGGGCCCCTCTCGTGAGAGGCCGCTTGCTGGACAGGAAAGGGGAGGACCACGAGCGGCAAGCAGCCCCTGGACAGCAAGAAGGCCCTGCCTGAGAGGAGCCGGTGCCTGTGGCTCACCCGGGGGAGGACGGCCATTCTGTGACGGGCACAAAGGACACTTGGGTTCTCGCGTTCCATCAGACCCTGGAGCTGCTGGAAGGAACGGCCTGCACCAAGCAGGGCTGTGTGGCTTGTAGCAGCTGTGCCGGTCATTTATGTAAGGAGGGTCCTGGGGCAGCGGGAGGTTCCTGACCACCCACATGGGAGCCGGGTGATCTCGGGCGAACTCTAAGCTTTCCTGAGTCGTGGTTTCCACGCCCCCCGAGAGTGAGAATTACAGCTCTGGCATTTCACACGGTTGTTGCAGGAACCGTATCAACAACGGATGGAGGAGCTGCCTGGAGAACACGGCTCTTCCAGAAAGGAGCACCGAGGGGGCAGCTCTGAGTGGGGACGAGTGAGGCCACAGTGCAGTCTGAGCTGTCCTCCGGATCCACTCTACACACGGTGAAGAGCAAATGGCAGGCCGGCGCTGTGGTTCAGTAGGCTAATCCTCCGCCTTGTGGCGCCGGCACACCGGGTTCTAGTCCCGGTCGGGGCGCCAGATTCTGTCCTGGTTGCCCCTTTTCCAGGCCAGCTCTCTGCTGTGGCCAGGGAGTGCAGTGGAGGATGGCCCAAGTGCTTGGGCCCTGCACCCATGGGAGACCAGGAAAAGCACCTGGCTCCTGCCATTGGATCAGCACGGTGTGCCGGCCGCGGCGGCCATTGGAGGGTGAACCAATGGCAAAGGAAGACCTTTCTCTCTGTCTCTCTCTCTCACTGTCCACTCTGCCTGTCAAAAAACAAACAAAAAAACAAATGGCAGCCTTCACATGTGCGGAACGGGCGGCAGCTGCTTCCGGAACGGGCGGCTTGGTCCGCCCTGAGCAGGGGCCTCTGTCATGCCCACAGGCTGTCTGAGAAGGTCACAGTCGACAACACAGCACGGGCAACCTCCTCGCATTGGTAGGATGTGTTGCCCGGGAGACCGTCTCCACCAGAACAGGATGATTTTTTACATGGAAATAAACAGGAGAATGTTTTTAAAGGACATAACCCTGTGGTCCTCTCAGAGAAACACCCTGCCTGTTGTTATAAATATTTTATTACTGCACACGCATCCTAACTACTTCTTACGGCCAGGGCCGGGGGCTGATTCATTTCCATTTGCTCTTCCATGCATCGTGCCTCGGATCCGACAGGGAGACGGTGCCCTGGGGAACAGGCGCTGGCGCATGGAGCTGATTTGCAGACCCGGGGATCATTCGGAAATGTTTCCAAGCAAATTCATTTTGGCACGGGTCTCTAATTTCTGAAAACTCTGGTATTCGCGGGCCCTGGCCGGTGTGCCCTCGTTTTAGGGCTTTCTTGATTTAAGCCCCGTGTGTACAGATGCTCTCTCCCCGAGCTCTGACACCATCAGAGAAAATCCTTCTCACAGCAGTAATCCCACGGAACAGAGAGACGCGCGGTCCCTAACGTGGCCTCCTGCCATCAGCACAATTTAATTATTCAAGTCTGTGCCCGGAGCCTGGCTCTGCTGGTGACTTTTAAAGTCCTTCCTTGACAGCTTCAGCCTAGGGAAACTTTGCCTCCATGTGCTGAGAACAGGCAGAGGCGTGTGGACAAGGAGCTGGGAGGGGCTGGTGAGAGAGGGAAGCCAATTACTCTCATTAGCTGATGACTAGGAACAGAGGCAGAGGGTGAGGCCATGTGAGGACCCAGCAGCCAGAAAAGCCAGAAGCCTCAGCCTTGGGAGGCGGCTCTGGGCGCTTTCCAGGGAGGATGAAAGCTGGGCAGCTGGGGTTTGTCATAGGAACATCCGCGGGAACCGAGCCCACAGGCCCCCTGCCCGCAGGGGACAGAATCTCAACCCCTTCTTGGCCTGTCTGTAAAAGGGGGAAGGGCAGGCTGGCGCAGCGGCTCACTAGGCTGATCCTCCGCCTGTGGCGCCGGCACCCCAGGTTCTAGTCCCGGTCGGGGCGCTAGGTTCTGTCCCAGTTGCTCCTCTTCCAGGCCAGCTCTCTGCTATGGCCAGGAGTGCAGTGGAGGATGGCCCAAGTGCTTGGGCCCTGCACCCCATGGGAGACCAGGAGAAGCACCTGTCTCCTGCCTTCGGATCAGTGCGGTGTGCTGGCCGCAGTGGCCATTAGAGGGTGAACCAACGGCAAAGGAAGACCTTTCTCTCTGTCTCTCACTAACTCTGCCTGTCAAAAAGGGTGGGGGGCAGCTGGGGGCACAGCCACAGAAGGGGCCACGCCTGTTGATCCTGGACCTTGTGTACCCCAGTAATGGCCCACTCAGATCACTGGAGGGGTGGCTGTTCAGCCCAGTGGTTGAGAAGGCAGTCAAGACGCCAGAGTGCCACACTGGAGTGACTGAGTTTGATGCCGGTTCTGGCTCCTGACTTCAGATAACACACACCCTGGGAGGCAGCAGGGAGCACTTAACTCACTAGGTCCCTGCCATTCCCTTGGGAGACCTGGAACGAGCTCCTGGCTCGCAGCCATGGCTTGGCTCAATCCCGGATGTTGTAGGTATCTGCTGAGAGAACCAGGAGTATGCCTTCTCTCTAAATAAGTAAGTAAATGAATAAATAAATAAAGTGACTTAAACCACTTCAAGTGGATAACGACCTGGCTTAGTTTGTAGGAAAACCTGAATGTTTAAGGAACTACACGGGAATAGCAGTGACTTGTGACAGGCAAATACTACAGGCATACAGAACACATATTAAATGGTGAGTGGACAATTACACAAATGCATAGGGAATGAGATGCCCTCCATGTGCAAAGATAACGGGATTTAAGAAGCAACACATTCGCGACTTCTTTCTTTTTTAGCCAAATATTTGATGAACAGAGTGGGCCTGGTGTAGGCATTTGGAGGAAGTGGAAATGGGTACTTGCAAGTTCTTACTCCAGGAAGGCTGATAAAATTAACAAATGCAACCATGGCACTGAAATCTATTAAAAGAGATTTGGTAATTATCTGTTAATATCGACTGTTTCACTGTTTTCTTTTCACTTGTGTCAAGAAACCACTGCAATTATCACATTTGGTGCAATTTTAAACTCAGCAGCTGTTTGGGCAGTGGGGATTTCTCCCGGTTCTCACGTGTTCCTCTCATAGTTCTAGAAGCCTGCCGATCCCTCTGAGGCAGACAGCAAACTGGACGCTCCTGGCCACATCTGATTTTCAAATGTGTGCATGTGGTTACCCCTGATGCTTCAAAATTTATCGGCTTTATTTCCAGCACCCGGGGACCGGGAGGCTGCACGCACTCTTGGATCTCCCAGGAGACTGCACGCACTCTTGGATCCCCCGGGGACTGTGAGATCGCACGCACTCTTGGATCTCCCGGGGACCGGGAGACTGCACGCACTCCTGGATCTCCCGGGGACCTTGCACGCACTCCTGGATCTCCCGGGGACCTTGCACGCACTCCTGGATCTCCCGGGGACCGGGAGGCTGCACGCACTCTTGGATCTCCCGGGGACTGTGAGACTGCACGCACTCTTGGATCTCCCGGGGACTGTGAGGCTGCACGCACTCCTGGATCTCCCGGGGACTGTGAGACTGCACGCACTCCTGGATCTCCCGGGGACCGTGAGACTGCACGCACTCTTGGATCTCCCGGGGACCTTGCACGCACTCCTGGATCTCCCGGGGACCGTGAGGTTGCACGCACTCTTGGATCTCCCGGGGACTGTGAGACTGCACGCACTCCTGGATCTCCCGGGGACCGGGAGGCTGCACGCACTCTTGGATCTCCCTGAAATACTAGCAGATCTGGCAAAACCGAGCAACAGGCTAGCAGGTAACCATCAGCTAATAACTAGATCACATTAATTAGCATTCATTTTCAATTCTTATATTTAATAACGCATGCCCCCTGGTAAAAGCTCAATGGAATAAAAGGTACCAGGAATAGCAGACATTGCTCCCGGCCTGTAACATCGCCTCCATTCTCCTGCCCAAACGCAGCTATTGGTGTGGGTGGTGTGTACCCCAGTGCCTCTGTGAGGCTGCCACGCTGGCTTCTGCTCGCCTGTTGGCCACGGTCTCCATTGCTCCCTGGAGCCCAGCACCCGGCTGATTCCCCAGACTGCTGTTGGGTCCTCCAGACAAAGGAGCTTGCGGCTCCGCTGAGCGGGAGAGCTGACACGTTATCCAGACAGTCTGAAAATGGCTGACCCGGTTACTTGCCTGAGGATGTATCCACGCAGCACCCCATTGTGTTCGGTTTCTGGGGGAGGCTGCCACTGGACCATGATGGACTGGTTGGTGCGCCCGCTGGCCACGATGTTTTTTGGGGGAGCACTGGGCGGTTCTTCAGGCAACATCAACCTAAAAATGAAAGGGATGAGTTGCAGACAGAGAGGACCCTCACTGGCACTCCCTATTCTATTGGATTTTGCTCCTCACGATCCAGAAAAATCAGGTGACAAGCAAAGCACAGGCCACGGCTGATCAAACTGCAGGCACAGGTGTGAGATGGTTACCACAAATCAGCGCAGCCAACACTCAGTTTAGCGACCAACAAGGAAGACGTGGGAGGCGGCTCTATCCTGTGTGCATAACCTGCAGTGCCTCTAAGCTTCCGAAAGATTACCAGCCTGAGGGAGTTGGCTTGAGGCCTCCAGTCTAAGGCTGCTTCCAAATTGTTTTCTTCTGCTCTTTCAATTTTTTCTCATATCAAACTCCCACATTTCGGAAGGAGTCATTTAGATCTTAGCTATCCCACAAGGGAGCCACTCAGGCAGGTGGGGCGTGCAGGCTGCAGGGAGCGGGTGCCACACCCACGCCACGCCAGCACAGGCTTCAGAAGTGGCCCTTCCAGGGGCTGGGGTGCCACCACAGGCCTCGCTCGGCTCCCTGACGACACCCTCTAGGGGTCTGCTTCTCAGGAAGATGGCACAAAGCATCCACTCTGCTGTCCTCAGGCACAGAAAACGTCTAAGCTCTATTTTTGTTGTTCTTTCTTCTATCGATAGGCAGAGTGGACAGTGAGAGAGAGAGACAGAGAGAAAGGTCTTCCTTTGCCGTTGGTTCACCCTCCAATGGCCGCCGCGGCCGGCGCACTGCGCTGATCCGATGGCAGGAGCCAGGAGCCAGGTGCTTTTCCTGGTCTCCCATGGGGTGCAGGGCCCAAGCACCTGGGCCATCCTCCACTGCACTCCCTGGCCACAGCAGAGGGCTGGCCTGGAAGAGGGGCAACCGGGACAGAATCCGGCGCCCCGACCGGGACTAGAACCCGGTGTGCCGGCGCCGCTAGGCGGAGGATTAGCCTAGTGAGCCGCGGCGCCGGCCCGTGTAAGCTCTTAATTCCTGTGTACAGAGGGCGGCGCTGTCAGGAGCGACGGCTGCCGGCACGGCCAGAGCTCCACGGGAGAAATGGGAGACCCTGGCCGCGGGGCAATTCAGGAAAGCCCAGCTCAGCCAGCCTCCGACCGAGCTCTCCCTCCCTGTGGTGTCTTCCCTGCTCACGTTTGTGCCAGGATCCCTACACAGCAATCCACTGCTCCCACCCAGCACGCCGCCTCTGTGTGACGCCCAGGCAATGTGGCTTCCCACTACTGCACCGAGGGAGGGCGTCCACACACCTGCTTGTCTCTGCGCTGTACTGGCCTTTGCCCACTTGATTGACTGCACACACCCTGAACTGATAGGTGCGGGCTGGAGTCAGGCCACTCACGGTGACGCTTGTCATCTCAGGGTCAACGTTCGACAGGTGCACTTTCCATGGGGAGTCTGAAAGAATGAGTACAGACAGGTTCAAACTCACACAGCGCACGTATGAACGATGATGAGCGAACACGAGTGTGTCCCCGTGAATTCTCTCTCCCGCCTGCCAACACAGCTCTGTGACAAAGGGTGGCTATCCCCACTTGACAGATATGGAAACTGAGGCTCCCAGTTAGGTAGCTATTAACTCGGGAGCCTGGCATGAAATCTGGGGCCCCTCACCCCAAATCCAGTGTTTGCTGGAACCCCATGCTGCTGTCACCAAGTGGAAAGATGCTTTGGTACAACCTGCATGTGGCTGTTGCAAAGGCACTAAAACACTCCTTACTCCTGTGCGCAGTATGTGATGGGAAAACTCTGTCAGCTCTCTCGTTAGGCAAACCGCAGATACGTCTCCCAGAAAGGGATACTGCACATGTCGCCGAGTGATAAATAAAAACTATATTCATTAACATTTTAATAAAAGAGGAAACAAGCATGATAAAGACAGATGGGCTGCGCAGGCCATTACGCCACCGCACAGCCGTGTGGCTCTGGCTGGAGAGGCACGTAATGAAATTTGCAGCTCAGAGAGGATGCCTCTCCACCCCGCGTTCCAGCAGGTGCACAGCAGAGGCTCTGCCAACCAATGGGCTCTCACCCGCAAGGCTTGGGAAAGCGGGGGTCCTACACCATTGTGCGGTTTTTGGCCGAGCGTCCATATTCTTCTCGGCCAAGTCGCTTTGTAGAGCGATGCCCTGGAACGGACATGCTCTGGCAGTGACTTGCAGCGTCCACCGCCGTTTCCCCTCCGGCGTCACAGTGATGCCTACACCGAAGTCCCGAGTTCTCAGAGAAGTAAACAACATGGGGGCAGGGAGACTCTAGTGGAAATCAAACCTTTCTCCTCCTGTGAAGTGTGCTAACATCCCTCATGCCTACCTTGGAGACACTCAGAAAGTAGAGACACATGGCTCCCGGGATGGGGTTGGGCTACGCTCAGCTTGTTAACAATGCCAGCTGCACGTCAACTCCACACACAGCAATCAGTGGAGAGTAAACCATGAAGACTAACTCCTGTGTGCTGGGAGCGCATCAGAAGCACATGCTGGCACCCCAGCTCCCGACACGCCACCACCAGGTAGTCACAAACCGCTCCAAAATGAAGCAAGACCCTCAAACGCAACCCAAGCTGGCTGTCTCTCAGATTCATCGGCTGGATTCCTAGACACAGAGAGAAGCCATTCTGCAGCCTGATGCCAGTTGGACCATGAAGAGTTTATCTTTTTAATCATTCCAAAAGAGGTTGCATCCAAGAGCAGTCTTTCAGGAAGACAGTCTTCCCCGAGCTGGGCACTTCCCTGTTCTGGCTCCTGATTGCCAGTGACAAGCATAATCAAAGTGGGTGAGGATCCTTCTCTTTGTCTTTCCTAAAAACCAGCGTGTGCCTGCCCGCTTAACTCGGATAACTCAGACTGCCTTCCCTCTTCACGCTGGCAGGCTGAGACGTCTTGGTGAGAATCCAGCAGACTGTGTTGATCTGACCAGGCCTGGTTGCGGAAGACTCAATGCAGAGGTGGGAAGGACCTTCCCTTCCGTGACTGGACGTCCTGGGTAGAAAGCACCTCCCCTTGCCGAGCCCAGCTCACAGGCAAACACACTTCTCATTCTGAACATGGCTGTTGCACAGCAGGAAAACATGGAGACCACTGGTTTGATTTTGTCTGAATCTCCTCAACAGTGGGGACGGGGCAGGCACTTGGCACAGTGGTCCAAGGCACTGCAGGGGCATCCCTTATCAGTCTCTAGCTCAGGTGCTGGCTCCTCTGCTGCCAATCCATCTTCCCGCTGGTGTGCACCCTGGGGAGCAGCCAGTGGTGACGCATGTACCTGGGTCTCTGCCACACAGGGGAGAGATCCGCACGGAGCTCTAGGCTCCCGCCTTCCGCTCAGTTCAGCACTGGCTGCTGTGTACATTTGGAAGGGGGTGGGGGGTGCTGTGTGAACCCGTGGATGCAAGGTCCCTTTCAGTGTGTCTCTCCGCCTTTCAAACGTGAAAATATCTTTTTAAAATGGGAGACAAATCAAAACCACAATGACATGCCACTTCGCATCCATTAGGATAGCAGTTACAAACAAAGAACCCAGCAAACAGAAAGTGACAAATAGCAATAATAATAAGGATATGTAGAAATTCAAAGCCCTATACACTACTGGTGGAAGAGTAAAATGGAACAGTCACCATGGAAGACAGTAACTAGAGTTATCATATCACCCACAAATTCTACTTCTGGGCGTGTGCCCGAAAGAACTGAAGAATCAGGGCTCCCAGGGAAATGTGCACACTGTGTTCATGGCAGGGCTGCTCTCAACAGCTTCCCAAACACCATCATGGATGGATAAACAGATGGGGTCTCTTATTCACCAGAACAGTAGCCAGCATCTAAGAAGAAAGAAACTGGGAATCATGGGAGAATGTTGAGGACAAAATGCTGTGATGCCACTCATACGATGTCCCTGGGGTAGGCAAATTCCTAGACACAGAAAGAATAAGGGGCCCTGGAGGGGAGGCAGGCAGTGTTTAATGAGGCCCACTTTCACTTGAGCGGCATGAGAAGGGTAGTGTGGACAGATGGTGGTGGCGCTCAGACCACGTGTGAATGCGCCTAATGGTGCCAAAATGTACACTCAAAAAGGCTACGATGGCAAGTTTTGTTAAGTGTGTTTTACTAGAATTAAAATTTTTAATTCTGTCCCGGTTGCCCCTCTTCCAGGCCAGCCCTCTGCTGTGGCCAGGGAGTGCAGTGGAGGATGGCCCAGGTGCTTGGGCCCTGCACCCCATGGGAGACCAGGAAAAGCACCTGGCTCCTGGCTCCTGCCATCGGATCAGCGCGGTGCGCCGGTCGCGGCGGCCATTGGAGGGTGAACCAACGGCAAAGGAAGACCTTTCTCTCTGTCTCTCTCTCTCTCACTGTCCACTCTGCCTGTCAAAAATAAAAAAAAAATTTTTTTAAGAGATTAAAAACCAAAGAGAATAACACAAAACTCCTAGAATGACCTGGATATGAAACGAGGCGACATGAATGGGAGGCGTCTTGCGGGAGTCCCGGCTAAGGTGGGTCCTGGTGCTGGACGGCTGCTCCCACTGGAACCAGGCTCTACCATCTGCACCCTGCTCTGCCCAGAGCTCCTGTCCCACGGCTTCCCCTGGGAGGGGAGGAGAGAGGGAAGACTGGGCCCTTGACTCTCTGGGAGGGTGCCTTCCCCAGACTCCCCGCTCCTCTCCACCTTCACACAGTCTCTTACTGGCGTCTGCACACCCCCTGGCCTCTCCCACCTGAGAGTGGACTTGGCTCTGAGGCCACCAGCCCCAGTTACTCTGGTTCTCCTTCTTCCACACTTGGGCAAACAGCCCCTTTCTGGAACTTGTGCGTGATTACTGTCATTTGGGGGTGCCGCCTGTCCCCTGGGGGACCCTAACTGAGCACACGCGGTACGACTTGGCTTCCAGGCCCCACTTCCTTCAGATGTCACAGTGCCTGCGAGTCAGCACCCACTCACCAGCTTCATCAGATGCAGCAGCAAGTCATTTCAGAAAGAGATGAAGTCGAAAGGACAGTTGCCGTGACCGGCTGGCTGAACAGCACAGGGAGGAGGACGCCTGGACCCTGCCTGTCCTGCCCAGCGGCCGCCCAGTTGACCTTGGCTGACTGCTCACCCTGTGTGGAGGCTCTCAAAAGTCTGTGACCAGGTGTAGGATCTGTTCGATGTGACAACAGGGTCTATTACCCAACCCTGTATTTTGGGGGCCTGCACAGTCCCCCAAGTGCATCTGAATGCTTTATTTATTCTTCTTCCCTTACTAGAAGATAAAATATTGGGCAAGAAGAGAGATGAAACTGAAAGCTAATACAAATGACCTGATCCACCTCATGGGCCTCTGATTTATACCCACCCCCCCCCCCAAAAAAAAAAATTAAGTGGTTTGATAAGTATCTGCTCATTCCCTGCTCTGGAACCACACGCTGGGTGAGAACACTTAACATTTCAATTGCCAAGTCTGTCCCTGACAGTCAATAAGCAAAATCCCTTTTACAGAGTCTTCCCCCAGGGGCTGGCGTGTGGTGCAGCGGGATAAGCCGCCGCCTATGACTCCAGCCTCCCATGTGGGCACTGGGTTTGTGTCCCACTTCTGATCCAACTCCCTGTTAATGGGAAAAGCAGCGGAAGATGGCCCAAGTGTCGTGTCTCTGCTAGCCACGTGGGAGACCTGGAAGAAGCTCCTGGCTTCAACCTGGCCCAGCCCTGGCCATCACAGCCATCTGAGGAGTGAACCAGCAGATCAAAGATTGCTCTGTGTTGTGTATCTCCTTCTTTTTCTGAAACTCTAACTTTGACTTAAATAAATACATGTTAAAGACAAAAAAAAAAAAAAAAGATTCTTCTCCCAACAGGGCTCCACCAGGCCTGTCCCAGGGACTGCAATGCAGAAGAGCCTTGGTAAAGGGAACCACACCATGAAGTTTCAACACCTTTTCTCTCCTCATCAGGGCCTCCTCTCGCATCTCTGATCAAGACGAGGAAGTTTCTGACTCCCGCATCAGGCTGCCAAACCGCCTTGGTCACACAACGCTGCAGAGCCAGCCTCCTCTCAGTTGCAGGGCCCAGCAGCTATAAGGCCTTAATCACCTTGCCACATTCTTTTTTTTTTTTTTTAAGATTTATTTTATTTATTTGAAAGACAGAATTACAGAGAGAGGTAGAGACAGAAAGAGAGGTCTTCCATCCGCTGGTTCACTCCCCAGATGGCCGCAATGGCCGGAGCTGCACCGATCTGAAGCCAGGAGCCAGGAGCTTCTTCTTGGTCTCCCACATGGGTGCAGGGGCCCAAGGACTTGGGCCATCTTCCACTGCTTTCCCAGGCCACAGCAGAGAGCGGGATCGGAAGAGGAGCAGCCGGGGCTAGAACCGGCACCCATATGGGATGCCTGTGTTTCAGGCCAGGGCGTTAACCCGCTGTGCTACAG